TTAAAAAGTTAAGCATCAATTTGATTCAACACCCAAAATATAATTGAGAAAGATTTATTTTTTTACATATACTCAAATCTTCTCCAAGTTTTAGATCACAGAATCACAGAATCCTTAAGGTTGGAAAAGACCTCAAGGATCATCAAGTCCAACTGTCAACCCACACCACCTAACTTACTAAACCATGTCCCTAAGCACCACATCTACATGATGCTGAAACAAATAATAGATATACAATCAAAATAGTATAATCAGTAACAAGGGTATCATAATCTAACAATCCGATCTCTTTAAACATGGATTTCCTGCTTCATGTTAAAACCCTATTTCAAACAATAACAGCCCACACTCAAATGCACTAAGTTTGAATCACCTCTTCTCTGAATAGCCCTAGAAAACAGGATTTTCACAGCATGCTCTGAAAAATGGTAGGTTTCAGCTCTGGGGAACCAAAAAGGAAAAGAATTCTAATACTTCCAATGAAAACTGCCTTACTCACAATATTTTACATATGTCCTAGCAATACATTATTACGAAGTCAAAACTAATTAGTTTTTTACAGAAGATAGCCCAACTCATTCTAAAGTAGCAAACTGCAAAATATCTAGACTTTTTTTTTTTTTTTAAATAAGCAAAACACAAGTCAAAATAAAGTGAGTTATACAACTCTGTACTTGGCAAGTACATGAACAGGAAAAATATTTACAGCCAGAGAACCAGGGTGGCCCTTCTCATTAGCTGCACCTAGCAATACACAAAAATTAGTACCGTATCTCAGAGAAGGTGAGGGTATAAAAATCATCCTCTAATTGTAATTCTAAGTAAAACCAGTTGTTCACCAGTAAAGGAGCCTTTCTATAGTTTCCACCATTTTCTTCTCCTTGTGTCTATAAACCTACAAACACTCTCTCACTCTCTCTTCTGTTGTGACTTGGCCACATCTGTATTTTTTCACACATCTGTATCACCTTAGCTTACAAGGCTAAAAGCTAGTTGTCTACCACTAACCTAGCAGTAGATTCCCATAAGAATCACAGGGGAAAAATAAAACATTTTTAGAAGGTGTGATTCATCCCACATAATTTTGACACCTATTTGAGGGCGAGTTGAATTG